ATTGTCCCAATGGTTTAGAATAGATGTCCTGATTATAGAATACACTTCCCCCTTCTGACCATATTCCAAAGGATGAGCCAGAGAGAAATTCCACAGAAAGGTCACGCAGAAGACCAACCATGTACTGCCCCCCACCCCCAGGCCGTCCCTGACACCTGGGGTCATCTGTCTCCCTGGGTTAGGACTATCCTCCCCAGAGCCTTGGTTGGAATGTACAGGTCTGGGGATCTAACAGGGGTGGGCTAAATGGACAAGATGTCCTCTCTGATCAGGGCTGGGGGCACTCAGGAGTTAGCAGCAAGCCCTGTGTTTTATGGGGAGTGCATTTATAGGGAATCGCTGAGGGCCCCCATATCCTCCTATTCAGACCCTTGGAGCCACCCTTAGTGCAGAACCCCTTCCTGAAACATCAAACACTCCTCTGTGCAGGGCTCTGGAAGGGATGAGTCCAGCCTGCCCGAGACCAGAGGAGGGGGTGAAAGTGGCCACCCAAGGGACTGGACTCTGCTCCTGAGGGAGAGGGGCCAGGTCTGCTTGGCTGAGGTCATACCCTGCTGCCTTGGACACCGACCAGGGGAAAGCCCCTTCCTGACTGGGACCCTGGACTGAGCTCAAGGAGTGAGGTCAGGCTATGGGAAGGGAAATCAGGCTGAAGACGGGGGCGGGGGCTGGAAGTAGGGGATCCTGGATCCTGATCCTGCTTCTACCACTGATTGGCTGTAACCTTGAGCAAGTGACTTTGCCTCTCTGGGCCTCATCTGTAGACTGGAACCTAACTCCTAAGGTTGGCTGGCTGGTTAACACACATAAATTTGCCAGCAACGGCGCTGTGTGCATGTTTGCTGACGTTGTCATCCTTGCTGATGTCATTACTCAGCTCGCTCTGAGTTTCTTCCCCTTTTACTGGAGAGTGAGCTTGTCTCGTGGAATGATGTAAAGCTGGTAAAGTAACAAATGCGTGGTGTCAGGCACACTGTAGTACTTAAATCAAGGAGGGCACCCTTCCTTTCTCTCCTTTCCCAGAGAGGAGCCAGACTATGAATCCGAGTCAAGACTGACCCCCACCAGCGCTCTCTGTGTCCTGTCTCTGGCCCTTGGCCTCAGTCTCCCCACCTGTGAAAAAAGCTTCTGGGCCAAGTGGTCTCTGACTGTCCATGGCCATATGTGCTCCAGCCTCCCTCTCCCCTCCATTCTCTCCTTCCCTCTCCATTTCCAGCTCACGTCCACTACATCCCCTCCTACTGCAAAGAGAACCCTTGGAGCCCTAAAGAGGCTGCTGGTGGGCAATGGGGAACCAGCCCTCAAGTAGCCCAGGGCCCATTCGAGGCCTCCAAGGGTTAAGATCCAGAGTGAAGGGGGGTGTGGGGAAGAGGCAGGGAGAGGCCTGGAGCCCAGGGCCTGCCTCCCCTCCCCCTACCCTGGGAACAGAAGCTACTTGTTTGGGCATCAGCCGGCTGGCTTTGAGCTTGGCCAAAGGGAGACTGGGGTGGGGAGGGGAGAGGGCCCTGGAGAGCAGAGGGGACTCCCTTCTTCCAGCCAATGGGCAAGTCCATCACTAGCCCCTAGGACTCTCAGAGGTCCCTTACCCCTATAAACTGACCCCTTCCCCCAGGTTCTGCCGTTTCTTCATTCAAACACTCACTGCTGGGGGCAGGATTTAGACTCAGGCCCAGCTCTTGCCCACGACCAGGCTCTTTTTGGAGCATGGGACCAGGGCTATCACCCCATCCTACAGATGGGGAAATGAAGGCTCTGAGGAACTGAGCCAGGAACTAAGAAGTCTGGGGACTTGTTACTTTATTAACATAGGGTTTGGTGGCAGCACAGGGGCTGCCTCACATCCCTGACATTCCCATATCTCTGCAAACCCCTTCCCCACAGAGCTCCAAGGAGGCCCTTGCTAAGCTGAGCCACTACACAGGCCTAAAAGGCTGGGCAGCAATAAGCAGCCCACCTGTGAAGTCCCAAAGGATCTAGGAGATTTGGAGGGGTGAAAACTTAGGGGACGGAGGATGGTGGGGAGACAAGCAACCTGAACAAAGGGCTGAGGCTTGATGTATGGAAAAGCATGACTGGAACCCGACAGGTGGTGGAGGTGAGGCTGGGGTCAAGTGGGGAATGCCCCAATGAAGCTTGGGTACAATCTGGGCCCCTGGTGGCCTCTGCCAATTTCCACCTCCCTAGTTGTCAGTACTCTGCCTGGATCAGCCCCCTCTTGCCCTACTCCTGTGAGCAAATGGCAAATGGGGAGGCAGAGTTCCCAGGTCAGAATCTGGACAATCCCAAACCCATGGGACACGGGCATGAGTTCTCTCTACACCCTGCCCTTGCTACCCCTTCGTGCCATACCCATCTCCTCACCATTCCTCAAATATGCCATGCAAGTTCCTGCCCTTGCACAAGCTATGCCCTCCTCTGGGGGGTCCTTATCCTTGTGAATTGACACAACTGCTGAGGCCCATTCCAGTCATCTCCCCCTGGGCCTCCAAGAGTTCCAGTCCCTCATTCCATCTCAGTGCCAGTCTAGACCTGTCTTTGTGACTCTGCTGGTATCCTTCTACCCTGTAATGAGCTTACTGGGAGGTCTCCCCTAGCCTGGCACTCTGCTCTCTGAGACAGGCGTCCTGGGTGCCTGTCTGGACCTGGGTGCTCAGTCAAATCCTTCCCTGAGTACCTCTACACATCGGACCCTATAGCCCTCCCCACCCCCCAAGCCTGGGGATCAGGGAAGGATTCCAGGACAGTTTTGGGGGAGGGGGTGCATATGCCAGAAGTCATGTTGTGATGGCTTTTGACCTAAGCTCCCCAGCAACAAAAACACCTCTGGCAATCTGAAACCAAACACCCACCCCATGCCCCCCAGGCTGCACTCCAAGTCTGCTCTCTCCAGGCCCAATTTCCCACTCCAGGCGTGACCCCATTCAATGTGAACACAAACCTCCTTTCTTTCCCCAACAACTGGGCCAGGTAGGGGCTCTTGGGAGGCCATGCCACCATTTACTGGTGGGGAATTGGGGCAGAGACCGGAAGTAGTCTTCCCAAGGTCACTGCCCAGGTCCTGGGCATAGGGTCGTAGCAATGTGCAGAGCTGTCGGGGTCTCCGCGGTCAACGAGGTGCGAGCCTTCATTTCACAGATGAGAAAAGCAAGGCGTCCGACCAGGGCTAGCTCCGATCCCGAGAGCCTTCCTGCCAGAGGGTGAGGGCTGGAAGCCCTGTCCCGCCGGTTCGCCCTTCTCTCTACGGTCTCTGGCCCGACGGCGCACCGTCGAGAAGCCACCGCCACCCCCACCGCGAGACCGGAGAACAGATAACACAACCTGCAGAAACACCCGCGGAAGTAGGTGTCAGGCACAGCATCGCCGCGGGGCCTCGGCGTTCCCTTCTGCGGAATGGGAAAACTCCGGGCCACACCTGGGGAAGGAGCGGGGACGGGGATGCCCCGGCAGCCTCACTGACCTGCTCTGAGCCAAGACCACGAGGAGACCCGGTTCCGACACCGGCACCGCCACGCTCCCGCCGCAGCAGCGAACTCGCAGCCTCAGGCCGGGCGCGCCCACCCCACCGGGCGCTTCCGCCCGCCCACGTGACGCCCTGGGAGGGGAGGGCGGGGTCTGCGCGTGACCACGCCCGAGGGCGGGGGCGTGACGTGGCCACGCCCCCGGTGACCCCGCCCAGTCAGAGTCTTCGGGTTCGCCGTGCAGATGGTGGGTCTGTGTGCCTCCCGTTTGTGTCTCCCGCTCCTCTGCCTGCTGGAAGGTCCGTTTCTGTCTCCTGAGCCTACCACCCCCATCCGCGGAGTCTCCCTGCCTCTTGCTACTCTTCTTCTGGTGACTGTGCCCAGAGGGATGAGCCACACGCCCCCAGGAGCCCAGACCGCCCAGGGTGTAAAAACCAGGACGACCAAGGTCTCTGACCTCCTCTTCTAGGAAGTCCTTCCCCACCCCATTCTCTGAGTTTAGCCCACTTCTCCCCAGAGCCACTTCCCCCAGAGGCGGGGTGGTTGGGAGGAGTCCTGCCCAGTTAAAGATCCCTCGGCTGAAGGCTGCAGCCTAAGGTTCCGGCACCTGGGAGTTCTCTACCATCCTGCAAGCACACACGGATGAAGGCCCAGAGTCTGGCAGGCATTCCTGGTTCCTGTGTCCAGGGCACCTTTGGGGTCAGCCAAGCAGAAACCTTAGCTTTTTTATGCTTCCATTTCGCCAAATACCCCGTGGAGTCATTTGAAAGAACAGCTCTCACCAGGGTGGGGCACGGGGGTTTACTCTGAGATTGGGAGTTATTAATTTGAGCACCTTCTACATGCCAGGCCCAGTGCCAAACACCTCACTGGAGGTCTTCAAAATGACCTAGGGAGGGCTCAAATCACAGGGCCCATTCCCTCCAGTGCCCTGGAGTCTGATGGCCCTCACCTCAACCCCAACCTCCCTCCTCCAGAACGTGATGCCCCAACCTCAGTTCTGAGGCCCCCAACCTCAGTTCTGAGGCCCACAGCCCTGTGGCCTGACACCCAGGGACCTCTCCATCTCCCTTCCCTGATGACTAGAGAGTATCAGTCCCCCAATCCATAGATTGGACGCTATGAGGCCGAAGGTCACAAAATAGAAACCCACTTCCCCAATGAGCTGAAGGTCATACCAAAAAACCCCACCCTCTGACCCCTGACCCAGGGCCTCTAGCCAGAGCTACTCCTTCTCTTAGAGCAGTGAAAGGTAGTCATATAGCCTGGAGAGAATGGCAGAATGACCACCAACAGGTGGGTGGATGAAGAGTGAACTAATGAATAGACACAAAGGGAATGGAACATACCCATAAATGGAGAAAAAGCTAACCACCCAACCCCCCAGCTACCCATGGGGAGGAAAGAGGATGCCTAAAGAAATAAAGGTCAGGCAATCAACGATAAAATTAACAAAATAAACTGTAGAGCAAGGGGACCAAGAGTGGCAGTTGTGCCCCGGACAGGTGGGAAGCAGGTACAGCGAGGAGTCAGTGAGCCGGCTGAGGCTGTGGGATGGTTTATTAGGGCTATATCCAGCAAGGCCACAGTGCCAACCTGGGTCTGAGCCCAACGTCCTCAGGAGGCACAGGGGGTGTGGGAGGGGAGAAAGCCACCCCCAGGCTCTGCCCTGTCTTGTCTCAGTCCCTGTTATGGTTCCACGCTCAGGTGAACGAGGTATCATCGTCACTTCCCTCGCCGCCAGCACCGCCCATACGCTCCTCCCGACTCTCTGCCACCGCGCTCTCATCGATGTTCTCCAGCGAGTCCGCATGCTGCACAGACAGCTCCGACAGCGCCAGGCTTGGCAACAGGCTCTGCTCTGGGTGTAGCCACGGTTTAAAGTGGGGCTGATGCTTCTGCTTCCACTCAGGGTACTTGACGCACGCCTTGTACATCTTCTTCATGGCCTGTGGACCCGCAGCACCAGAGTCAGGAGTGAGCAGGCACAGGACTAGTTTCTTACCACATCCCCTCTCATGCTCTCCAGCCACTCAGCCCCCCACTCCCAGCATCCTGAGTTCTTGCCCCAAGTTCATAACTCTGCCCCTCAGCCCTGACTCCCCATCTCTATCCCACTCCACCCGTTCAGCCCAGAACCCTCTCCACCAACCTCCATACCCCCAAAGTCCCAAGGCCACTCACCTTGGGAGCCAGGAACTGAGAAGATTTATTCACCACCCACTTGGGTAAGGAGCCTATGAGAGCAGGGAAGGGGAGTGAGGAGAGAAGGGAAGCAGCAGCCTCAGGCACCCAGTCCCCTGCCTCCAGTCTGAGGTTTCCAGAGAGGCCACTCACTTCTCCATGGGAGTGGGGGGGGGGGGGGGGGATGTGAGATAAGTCCCATAAGACTTTATTATCCTTACCCTCTTTCCATCTCAGACCAAGGTGCTCTGCTAGAGGGGAATGTTAGCTTTTTCTCCATATATGGGCATATTCCATTCCCTTTGTGTCTATTCATTAGGCTTACCTCTGTGTCCCTGCCCCCTCCTGCTAAGCCCCAGAGGGCTGGCTGCAGGGAAGAAAACTGCAGGGTCCTAGGTGATTACAGGCTACAGATGGACTGAACCGCTGACCCAGCAAGCTCCTGCCTGCTGCCTGCCCTCCACTCACACTAACATCCCTTCTCATACCCAGTCCCTCTATGGGGAATAAATAGTCCTGATGCTTAGCCCCTCCTCTGCCTGTACCCCAGAAAGCCTAGCTGCTGCACATCCCTCTTGGCTGGACACTCCAGCCTGGCCTGACTTGGAATCCACAGCCCAGCTCTCCACCCTGTCTCATTCCCAAGTGTCTGCTCTGCCTTTGACACTCAACACATTCACTCAGTGAGATGCTGGGGAGCCCAGGGCCTTGGCCACTGGGCCCTCAGTGGGGTTCAGGGCATTCCCAGGTAAAGGTGCTTGGGGCTTACCCATCCTTGAGTCATCCATCCATTCATTCACGCACTCCACATTCGCTCAGTGATGCCCACCCTCGGGGACCCAGAAAGGAACTCACTGTCGGGGGGGCCCAACAGTGTGCCAAGTGCTCTGCTAGAGGGGAATGGGCCCACAGAGCAGGGAGCCAGCGACTCCTCTGGATAGAGGTGATGACATCTGGAGGGACGAGTAAGGGAGAAGAGGTGTTTCTAGGATGCCTAGACAGGGAGGTGGGAATGTGTAAGAGCGGCCAGTGAGCAGGGAGCAAGTCAGAGTATAGGAGTGTGAGCACTAGGAAGGGAGCTCTAAGCTTCATCATGGGACAGTGGCTACCACCTTGGCCCTTGCTTTTCAAACCGCTGTGACGTCTCAAACCATGGGTCAAATGATGAATATGTTTTCGATGAATATGCCCCAAAATATAAAACAACTCCTAACAAAAACCCTTCTGGATTCTGAGTAAATCAAGTCCCATCCCCTGGGAAATAGGAGAGGATCCCATGGTAGGCTCCAGGGCCAAGCTCTCACCTTTGGGGTCCACCTGGGCCAGGTAGGTGATGACGCAGCTCTTGGGCCCCGTGCTCTGGATGAGGTAGCCCGTCTGGATGGACACAGCTCGGACCAAGTCTTTCCGAGGCGGGTATTTCTGGGGACAGAAGGCACAGGGAGGTTAAGATTCAGGGTGGGAGAAAAGGAGGTGTCTCTGTGAGTACACACACACACACACACACACACACACACACACACACAGAGTTAGTTCATATCTCCTGGTGTCCACTCCAGGCCAGGCCTGCTGCTGGGGTAAGGAGAAAAGGAAGAGTCAGACTAGGCTATCTTTACCCTTTTTAGGGTCAGGGTTCATGAGCACACACAGGCGAGCACACACATACCTACACACACATACGCGTGCACTTGTCCTTGCCCAGGCCAGCTGTACCTGCTTGTCCTACCTGTCATGGAGATCAAAGTGGCCCAGCCTCAAGGAAGGTCAGGGAACCCTGACCTCACTCCCCCCTTTCCTAGTCAGACCATGCAGAGCCCAACCAATGGAATTCAGCATATCTGAGGGCCAATAGATTTCATGTCTGGCTTGAAGTCACAGGGAAGTCACGATAGCAACCAGGGTCCTTTCCCTAGGCTAGGCCTGCCAGCCCAGCCCTACCTGGCACCTTCCCTGCCCACCCAGCAGGGAAGGCAGGTCAACTCACGGGATGTTTGACTGAGTAGTTCATAATGATGTAATCAGTGCCCATGGGGAGCCAGGAGCGAAGGGTGATGACATCACGGTTCTTCAGGGGCTTTGGACACCTCCCTGTGGAGGGCAAGGGACAGTTCAGCCAGACCACTGGCCTGCCTGACTGACTGCAAGGGAGGGCATGGCAGAGGCTAGCAACACAGGGATGCCTAGTTAACTGCCAGCTCCCCCTGAACCAAACAGGTACCCACAACACCACAGTCCCAGAACTGAAACTAGGAAAGAGACAGAGCACAACCCTCTCCCCTCCTGTCTCCAGCCACCCCTGCTCCTCACAACCTCACACAGCCCTTACCTTGCTGGCCTGGCTTGTTTGTATATGTGAGTGTATGGGAAAATCACGGTATTACTTGATGTAGGTACATGAAAACATGTGACTGTGAATACGTGGCATATGGCTGTGGGTTGTATACATGTGTACACGTGTTTGTGTGGAATGTGCATACATGAACATGGGAGTGCATAATGTGTTTTAGTGTATGTGTGTGTGTGTTCACAACTGTCTGGGAGTGGACAGGGATGTCAGGAAGGGCAGCCCAACATCTCAGCACTCAGGTCTCTGAGCACGTTGGCGTGGGAGTGACCACAGGGAGGGAAGACGGGAGGAGGAGCCTCAGCTGGAAGCCTGGTAGAGGCCTGCAGGAGGCTAGGGGAGTGTGCTTGGGCTTGCTCACAAGAATAATAGCCCACGTCAGCATTGACTGTCAAGCGAGCGATGTCGAAAGTCTCAATGACGTTGCTGTCCCACTTCTTTCGGTATTCAATGTCATGTAGGACATCGTAGAGTGTCTCGGCTGGCACATCGCGGCACTCCATCCGGCACTGCAGATAGACACATGGGTTGTCAGGGTCACACAGGGTTCAAAGCCTTGGTACCAGGGGTCCGGAGGGCAAACAGGCAAAGGGGGGAGGAGAAGGAGGAGGACAGAAAGGAACAGCGACTTCTAAAGCCAACATGGACTCGCCACTTGCCACGAGTCCTGTCCAGCCCTCCCAGAAGCCACCTGTGCCAGGAGACAGCAGCCCCTATATCCAAAGACTATCCCCCCACCTTAACTCCCAACAAACCTCCCCATTTGACCCTGTTTCCTTCTCAAGGAGGCCTTCCTGAATTATCCAGCCATATGTTGAGTCTCTAGATCTGTGCCCTCTCAGACCCTTGAACTTCATGGTCGCAGGCTCACAACTGTTTCAACACAGAACCTGGTATGGTTACATGTTGACACGAAAGCATGAACGAACAAATGCCTAAGTAGATGATTTCTTTCCTCCATGGGACCTTATCACCAGGCCATACCACTTTTTTTTTTAATCCAACAAGCATCTTTGGATCTCTTATTATTTATTAGCCTTGTCTTCAAAGAGCTTTCTGTCCAGCAGAGACAAGAGCCGCCAAAGATACCTTTTTAAAAATTTAACCCTTACAATAACTCTGCCACACAAGAAATCCAAGGAGGAAATTGAGGTTCAGAAAGATTAAGTAAAGTAACTTGCCCAAGGTCACTGAGCTGGAAAGTAGCAGAGATATGGGATTTAACCCAGATCACATGTCTGGAAAGCCAGTAAAAACAGAATGAGGTTTCGCCAGATTTTCACTCAGCAAGATGAAACTTAGTCCATAGCCTTGTCCTGTGATTTTTTTTTTTTCTCACCCAAGAGCCCAATCCCCAGGATCAAGTTCCTCTCAGCAAGTGAACAAATTTTCTTGCATCGTTTATAAAGGTCTCCCAGAACTGGTGTTCAGACGGTGCCAAGGGAGGCACACACATTGCTTTCTACTGAAAAGGGGATACATGCAACCATATGAGGGCGGCGTCACATTGCCTTCCCCCTAATCTTGGGTTAGGCTGTGGGGCTCCTAACCATATGAGAGGCCACAGGAAGGACACATCACTACCTATTGGGTATTTTAGGAACCAGTGAAGTCATCAAGCCCTACTTTGCAGAAAATAAAGAGGACAGAGGAACAAGCTAAGTATTACCATGAGAAGCTAAGTGTTACCATGAGAATACAACCAGACAAAGCCAGAGGGTGCGAGATTCTGCAGAGTTACTGGTCCAGTCTCTTCTACAGATTAATGACATAAGGAACTAGGCTAGACTGAGAGACTTATAGGACACAACCACCAGATGGAAAGTGTGTTCCTGGATTGCACACTGGCTTGGACACAACAACTATAAAGGACATTTGGGACAGCTGGAGAAATATGAATATGAACTGAGTGTTAGATGTGCCGAAAATGTGCTGAATCCAAATGGTGAAGATAGCTGCCTGAAAACAAAAAAGCAGATTACAAAATAGAATGCATGGTGTACTCTCATTCGGGGTGGGGGGGATACGTGCACAGAAAAAGCTCAGGAAGCACAGTCACTAAGGTGTTAGCAGTGGTGATCTCTGAATGATGAGAATATGGTGGGCTTTGGTTGTTATTGGTTGAGTTTTTTTTTTTTTTTTTTTGCTGTTTGTATTTCTAATTTTCTAAAATGTATAGTACTGCTTCTATAACAATGAAAAAAATTAAATAAAAAGTTCCCCCACATGCCCGGCCAGTGTGGCTCAGTGGTTGAGGGCTGATCCATGCACCAGGAAGTTAGGATCCAATTCCTGGTCAGGTCACATGCCCCAGTTACCTACCGATCCCCAGTGGGGGGCGTGCAGGAGGCAGCCGATCAAAGATTCTCTGTCATCATTGATGTTTGTTTTTTTTTTCTCTCTCTCTCCCTTCCTCTCTGTGGAATCAATTATATATATTATATATTTTAAAGTTCCCCCAGAGATATTGAGAGGTGCACTTACCACATGCCAGGTACTAGTCTAAGTGCTTTATACATATTACAGTATTTTATTCTCACAGCCACAGTCTGAGGTATCAGCCCCATTTCAGAATTAGGAAAACCGAAGTTCAAGGACAGACTCCAGCCTGCGGACTCATGTGACCCCGAACATGTCACTCTCCCTCTGTTTGCTTTCCTGCTTCAGGAGGGGGTATGACTAGATCCAATCATTTAACAACCCCCGGTTCCAGCCCCGCGTGGAGCTCACAAGAGTCAGAGATGAACCTGGGGCCTGTCCTTGAAAGGCTTCTTCCAGTTGAGAGAGGAGACCGACTTGAAAATAAGAAGGTGCCCTAAACTGCCCAGTGGGGGCACAGAGGAGGTCAGCTCTGTGATGTGGGTGAGGAGTCAGGCTCCATGGAGAAGCTCCGTCTGGAAGGTAGGTGTCTGCCAAGTGGCCTTGGGAGAAAGAACCGCCAGGGAACAGGCACCAAGGAGATGAGAGTGTGGCCTGTAGAAAGCTGAATGAGTTCCATTTGCTCCAGTTCCCAGGGTGTGGTACAGCCTAATACTTAAAAGGTCCTGGTTCCAGATCTCCCTGGAGAAATAGGTGATTCGGGACTAGGTCAGAGTAAGTATAGGTGAGCCTGGAACATCTTATTGCACACAAAAAAGGACCTACCACAGAATGCTAGGGAACTTGCCCAGAGAACACAGGAGCCAGCGCCATGAGCTTCCACTGGTTTGCTTTGGTTGACCAACTCATCAGTGTTTACCTGAAGTGTTCCCCAGTTTTAGCACTGAAATCCACATCCCAGAAAACCCCTCTGACCTGGGCAAACTAGGGCAGCTGGCCACCTACCATGGGCTAAAGCTGGGACAACCTGTGATTAATACAAATAATGAAAGTAACAAGTTCTATTCCACTGAGTAAAATAGGTATATACAGGTATGAATAAATAAATTGAATTTTAATAAGGGTATTTGCATAGTTTCAAAGTATCTTCCCATCAAATACTTATTACAAAAGGAAAATGAGTAACTCCATGGTAGAGAAGCCTGGCAGGTCCCACCTTAATCAAGCCATCAAAGTGAACATCATTAGTAATGGAACAATTTACAACTGAGTGCTGCCTGATAGGACAAAATTAAAAAAATACAGGCATGCCCTGGCTGGTGTTGCTCAGCTGGCTGGACGTCTTCCTATGCACCAAAAGGATGCTGGTTCAATTGCTGGTAGGGACACATGCCTGGGGTGTGGACTTGATCCCCAGGAGGGGGGAGAGCAAGAGGCAGCCAATCGATGTTTCTGTCTGTCTATCCCTCTGCCTCCCCACTTCTTTCCAATCAGTAAAAACATATTTAAAAAAACCAAAGAATACAGGCACCACTTATGTGGTATTTCTGCCAAAGATGTATAACCTAAATCTAATCATTAGGAAAATCAGACAAAGCCAAAATGAGGAACTTTCACAAAATAACTAGCCTTTAAGTGTCAGGGTCATGAAAGTCAAGAAAAGACTCAAGAACTATATCAGACTGAAGGAGACTAATGAAACATGAGTGAATGAATGAGTGAGTGAACAACATGATGGGAGGGAGGGATGTGACAATGAGAAAGGGGGTGGGAGGAGATGGCAGACACGAGATCTGCCATCACCAGGAACATCCAAACAGCTTTCTATTCAGCAGCCATAGGGAGATCCAGGTGCTGCACCAGATATTCAACACACACACTCTCTTCAACCCAGATTTAGAGCTGGTGTCATGCCTGTGCTGCAAAATAGAAAACTGAGGCTCAGCAGAGTAAGCAACCTGCCCAAATCAGGCAGCCAGAAAGCAGCCTGGCAGGGATTCAAAACAAAACCAGGTCTTGCTGTAGTCCTAACCATCAAGGAGCACTGAAGTGTGGCTTCTGAAGAAACTAGAACTTCTCTAAATCCACGTGTGGAAGCTGGTTTGGCTTTGCAAGTCCTCAAATGTGTGTATAGACAGTGAGTGTATGGAGGGGCCACACTGGAAGGGGCTCACATTGCCCAGACCTTGCCCATACTCCCTCAGCCTTTTGGATCAGGACTGTTGTGGCTTCAGAACCAAAGGCCGCCCTCGAGACAGCAGACAGTGGGCGGAGCACACAGAGCCCCAACACAGTGCAAACTCTGCATACCATTTTATCTTCCAGATACAGCTGGAAACTTCAAAGGCTTCCCAGCTTAGCAGACTCTTAGGGAAGAAGGCCATCAGCAGGGCCCGGTTGGGAGGAGGGCACTGGGAAGGTAAGAACCCTGGCTGTGGTGACCCTCCAGGTGAGAAAACAGGTCTGGGTGGTGATCTGGAGAACAGAGAGCATCTATGGGCCTCATGGCCCATAGCACCCACAGCGACTGGCCTGGCTCCCAGCCCAGCTCTTTCCACCGCCCCCAGGAGGCAGTATGGCTTCGCCAAGACCGGTAAATTACATCTAGCAATGTTCTTGCCTGCAGGGCCAGGGGCCACATCAGCAAGGTGTAATACTAAGAGGCTTTGAGAGGGGTAGGGGTATGTCGTTGGAGAATACCTAGTGGGCGGGTCTGTGACTGGAACCCATATTCATTGGGCCCTGGGTGAGTCAGTCACTTCAGTGAATATCTGGGAGCTCCCAGAACTGAAGGGAAGGAGCTAAATTGGGCTACAATGCCCTTAAATCCTGGTTACCACAGGGAGCCTGATATGCAGCCATTTCACAGCTGAGAAAACTGAGGCCCAGGGTAAATACAGACTACGACCCCGCCAGACCCCATGACAGGGAGAACTGGGATTGCCCAAAACTCCTGGGTCCAACACCACCCCCCAACACCCTGAGTTCCACAGAGCCATGATCAGAAAGGACTGGACAATTAAGGAAAGCCATCAGGAAAGACTCCTGCAATCCCGGATTCCAATCCTCTCCTTGGGCACAAGATTTAACTCTCCTGAGTCTGTTTCCTCATACGAAAAACGGGGATACTGCCCTGGCCAGGTAGCTCGTTGGTTAGAGCATCATCCTGATATGCTAAGGTTGTGGTTTT